CACCAGCAGAGCCACAGCATGTCTCGAACACCCTCGCAGCCTGAGCGACCTGCTAGCGCCAGCCAGCCCAGCCAGCCGGCCATTGTCTCTTCAAACCCCAAGGCTCTTAACGCCCAGGCCAACCCCAACAGCTTCGTCAAGCCTAGGAAGAGCGCCGCGGTTCAAATTAAGAATCTTGCCGGCGAGGTGGTTGATACCTCAACTTTCAAGCAGCCTGCTTCTCCTGTTCCCACTCAGACCAGGACGCCCCCCGTCATCGCCGCATCCACGCCGCCTCAGCAGAAGCTCGACGCGCCAAGTCATGCTCGCACAGACAGCCAGTCGCCGAACAAGACGGCCAAGGAGATTCAGGAAGAGCTGAAGGCCAAGATCCAGGCCGAGATTCGAGCTGCTACCGAAAAGGCGGCAAAGCAGGAGGCGGAAGCCAAAGCGGAAGCCACCGAGGATGCTGGGCCCAAGAAGGAAGAAGCTGCGGAAGCAAAGGCGGAGGAAAAGACCGAAGCAAAGACCGAAGTCAAGGCCGAAGCTCAGCCAGACGTCAAGTCCCAGCCCGAGGCGACACCCGACGTCAAGCCCGAACAGCCAAAGGCTGAGCCCGCCGAGACAAAGGCTGAGCCCGCCGAGACAAAGGCTGAGCCTGCCGAGACAAAGGCCGAGCCTCAGCCCGAGGCCGCTGCCAAGGTTGAGGCACCGGCACCCGAGAAGGCGGCTGAGAAACCGGCCGAGAAGCCAGTTGAGGAGCCTGCCCAGAAGGCTGCCGAAGCCCCCAAGGCGGAGGAGGCCCCTGCGAAGGCGGAGGAGCCCGCCAAGAGCGATGAGCCTACAGAGGACGATATCGAGCGCATCATTCGGGAGATGGAAGAGGCCGAAGCGAAGCGCGAGGCCCAGGAGGAGGAGCACCGTAAGAAGAGGGAGGCCGAAAAGGCAGCGCAGAAGGCCGCCGAGGAGGCGAACCAGAAGAAGAGCGCCGAAGAAGCGGACCGGAAACTGCGGGAGCAAGAACGCGAGATGGAGAGGCTTGAGGAAGAAAAGGAGAGGCGACGTGAAGCCGCCGAGTCCTCTGGCAAGACTCTCTCCGTCGCCGAAGCCCTCGCTCAGATGCGCAGCGGCAACGTCGAGGAGAAGAAGGACGAGCCCGCCTCTGTCGAGACCGTTGCCGACAAGCTTGCCGACTTTAGCATCTCCGGCGACAAGTCTGGTGACGCTGCCGGCCAGAAGGAGAAGCGAGTTGCCAAGCCCGCCGCCCTCAACCTGGCGCCCATCAAGACCAGCGCCGTGGAGCCGCCTCAGCCCAGCGCCGCGCTGCAGTCTCTCAAGTCTGCTCGCTTCCTGCAGGTGATGGACCAGGACATCTACCCCGAGGGCATCAAGTCCCCCAACCCGGCCCTCAACGCCGCCGTCGCCAAGAAGGGCAAAACGTTCAAGTACGACGCCGCCTTCCTGCTCCAGTTCCAGAAGGTCTTCACCGAGCAGCCCTCGCTCCAGTTCCACCAGCAGATTAAGCAGCTGATTGGCGATGGCGACGGCAACCGCTCTCAATCGCGCGGTCAGACGCCTAGCTCGGCCAGACAGGGATCCCG